CCCCCAAATTTTTGGGGCCCGGGGGGGGGGGGGGGGGAAAAGGGGGAAAAAAAAAAAAAACCCCCCCCCCCCGGGGAAAAACCCCCCCCCCCCCCAAAAAAAAGGGGGCCCCCCCCCAAAGGCCCCGGGGCAACCGGGGGGGGGAAAAAAAAAAAATTTTTTTTGGGGGGTTTTCCCCCCCCAAAAAACCCCTTTTTCCCCCCAAAGGGGGGAAAAAAACCCAAACCCCCCCCAAAAGGGGGCCCCCCCCCTTTTTCCCCCCGGGCCCCCCCCAAAAAAAGAAAAAAACCCCCCCCCCCCCAAAAAACCCCCCTTTCCCAAACCCCCAAAACCCCCCCCGGGGGAAAAGGGGGAAACCCGGGGGGGGGGGATTTTTTTTTGGGGGGGGGGGAAAACCCCTTAAAGGGGGGAAAAACCCCCAAAAAAAAAAGGGGGTTTTCTGGATTTCAAACCACTATTTTCCCGACACAACTGACTAAAATACCGCCATGGAAAACAAAAGCCCCCAAACATGTGCCACTTTTATCCCCCTCACACACTTCTGTGTTTTCAATTTTTTGACATAAGGGGGCGGCAGAATTAAAGGGGCCCCCATAGCTGCTGCCAGGCCCCCAATTTTGCCATGGGCCCCAATTTTACCCAAAACCGCCTCCTCAATTTCTTTGCCAAAAATCCAGAGGTTCCCATGCCATGTGCCAAATTTCAGGTCTCCTCACAAAACTGCTGGTTTTTTCAATTTTTTGTCATAGGGCTGGGGAGATTAAAGGCCCCCCTATACTTTTGCCAGGCCCTCCTCCATTGCTCCCACTGCATGTGCCACTTTCAGGTCTCCTCACACTCATGCTGGTTTCCATTTTGTCATAGGTTGCTGTATGGCCCTCCCATTGCTGCTGCCTCCACCGCCACACTGTGGCTCCAAACACACTGGTTTTGGCCCCGTGACTGGCCAAATGAGTGAAGTGTGCGGTGATTCTAAGATCGACGGCACTCATCTGCATGTCATACTGAGTGACAGTATTATTTCTCTTCCCCAGCAGACTCCAAGGGCATTTAAATTAAAGGTACAGTGTTCTGCACTAATATTAAGTCTCTCTGAAGCCTAGAAACACCCTTTTTAAGTTAAATTCACAGCGAATTTATTCGACTCGAATCGAATATTGTCCACGAATTCGCCGAATCAGTCGAATCTAATTTTTCATTTCTTCGCTCATCTCTAATCATAATCCATGACATGAAACATACAGTTGACCTGAGGAATGTGCAATTACTCTGGTCAGTTTGATAATGTGTGGGCTTACATAGTTTTGGGTGACAACAGTTACACTTCAGCAGACGGCCTGGCTCCAATCTCGTGTCTTAACCTGGTTGTCCCATACCATCTGTCAGGAGATAACGTTTTGCCTCTCAGGGCTGGAAAGGGGGGATGTGAGGAATGATTCGAGGAATACCTCACATAACAGAAAGGAAAAGAAGAACTCCGCTTCCAGCTCTGATGAGCTAGTTTGTTACACTGTGCACTCCTGAACTCAGCACACACCACGGATCACATGCCATTTGACAAAAACGGAGGGGGACTGATTTGGAGTGAGAATGACACAAGATGGTGGATCTTTAGCAAAATGGATTGCTACAGGCGTGTTTTGAGAGGACGCCATATGAAGCCCTCCCAGAACTGAACAACTGCACTGTAGCTGTCATTCGGCTATAGAGCAGTTGCCAAGTTGTTAAAGTGTATAAAAGCCTGAGTTATAGATTAGTTTAGGGAAAAGACGTTTTGTAACCATTATGCTGAGAGTTTCCAGTAAAGCTTTTGAAACTTTGTCTTTGCCTAGTCTAAAGATGCTTAAGGTGTGTAATGCAAGTAACTAGCACACATAGTTTAGAGCATGGGTCAACAAAGCACTTTGGGGTATGAAGACAACAGTGTAAGAGTTAATACACTGTGAAGACACAAGTGCTTACCAAGCGCAAGGAAGGTTTCTGTAGCAGTCTGTCGCAAATGTGTACATGTGGCAGGTGGAATATTCTCTTACAAGAGAAGTTATCATCACTCTCTCTATGAGCAGGTCAATCTCCCATTGCAACAGAGCAGTGCCAGCCAGTGTAAAGCTATGGAAGAGGAAATGTTAACTAAGTGCATGCATGGAGTTCAGTATTTTTTCAAGCGTACACGTTGTATGGCAAACTCTAAGTTAGAGGTCCGCCTTAAGATTTTTTCCTAAGAGCGGCCTCCACCTTTTCCAGCAGCATTGATGAGCATGGCACGATACCCCAGTACCCCATGTGAAGGGTGTGTGTGTGAGTGACCCAGTCTACAGTGCATGGCGTAGCAGCCTACAACCGTCTATCGATAATGCATTTTCTGGCCTTTGAACTTAGGTCAGGTGGCCTAGAATGCTAATAAGGGTTTATGTGCCAAACCCTCACTACAAAAGTCTGGTTTCCCAGCAGCCTTTTGTCAGTGTGTATTGGAGTAGGTAGGAATAGCAGACAGTGTATTGTTAGGGAAGGACAGTTGCTGCTGTACAGTGCTGCATTGTGTTACGTTCCTGTTAGTTGCAAGATGGTGGGATACAAAATATTCTGTACCCCCCCCCCCTGCTTTCACAGTGCAGAGACCCAACAGTCTTTTCTAGGACTCATTTTTGCCCCTCGTCTTTGAAATGCTTTTTTTCCTTTGCGGTTTTATTTATACTATATGGCTAAATGGTTAGCACTTCCACCTGGCAGTACTAGGGTCTATGGTTTGAATCCCACCACTGGCACCACTTCCCAGCAGTTTGCATGTTCTCCCTGTGCCTGCATGGGTTTCCTCTGGGTACTTTGGTTTCCTCCCACGCTCCAAAGACATGCTGGTAGGTTAATTGGATCCTGTCTAAATTGGTCCTAGTATGTGTATATATGAATGTAAGTTAGGGACCTTTGATTGTACACCCCTTCAGGGCTAGGGACTGATATGAATGTACAGTATATATATTTAAAGCGCTGTGTAAATTGATGGCGCTATACAAGTACCTGTAATAATAATAATTATATATACTGTATACATTATTTACTATCCGCTGGGTTAAAAGAACACAAAAATATAGGTTGGGTTTAGTCTTTATTACCTGTGGGATGTATGTTTTAATATAAAGTGATATTTAACCTTTATTTTTTTTTTTTTTAAATAACAAACATGTTATACTTACCTGCTCTGTGCAATGGTTTTGCACAGAGCAGCTCTGATTCTCATTCTCAGCCTCTGAGGTCCCCACCGGGGCTCCTGGTGCCTCCCTCCTTCCAGGTACCCCCCTAGCAAGTCACTAACTTCTGATAACTGCCTACCAATAGCTCCACTGCTATCAATCTGCAATGTGAGGAGGGAGAGAGTGGAGAAAGCCTGTTCTCATATATATTGCTGGATCGACATCTGGCTCATATAAGTATAACCGAAGGGGGGGGGTTGAGGTACCTCTCTGGAACTGCTGATGCAGTCTCATGCCTTGTTCACCATATACCTTAGTGTCAGTGACAGTTCAGTCACCTCTGCTGACTTATCCTCTTAATACTCAGAACTACCAGTCCTCCACATATGTCTCATAGCCTATACAACAACGAAAGCTGAATGCTGTCATGCATGGGCAGGGCCGGAGATTCTTTCAGCTCTCCAAGGCCAAGCCGAAGGAGGCTGCCTCCGCACCAACTTGTACAAGGCAATGTCCTGTGTGATAATATCACCAACCTACAGTACAGTAGGTAGAGTTCATAGAGGCCCCAACTAGCAATGATGCTCTGCTGGACCTGGTAATCTCAAACCATGCAGAGCTTATTAATAATGTCCATAGAAAAAACATCTGGGTAGCAGTGACCATAACATGATTTCATTTATTATTAGATGTAAACAACAAGCAGACACGGGAAAAATAAAAACTCTCAACTTTAAGAGAGCTAACTTTCCAAGGCTGAGAGCTGCTCTCCAAGACTTAGGCTGGGAGGGAATATTGGCATCAATGAACATAACACAGAAATGGGAGATCTTTAAAAAGACTGTATGTGAACACACTGCAAAATATACTGTATTCCCATGGGCAACAAGTTTAAAAGGCTAGAAATCAAATCTATGTGACTTACAGCCAATGTCAAAAAAGCTATAATAAGAAAATAGCTGTTATTAATTATAAAAATGAAGGAACACTATCAACGTTTAAACATTACAAAGAATATAACAGAAAATGTAAAAAGGAAATCAAGACCGCAAAAAATTCAAAACGAACGACAGATTGCAAAAGATAGCAGAACAAACCCCCAAAAAGTCTTCAAATATATTAATAGTAAAAAGGTTCGGTCCGAGCATGTAGGCCAGCGGTTTTCTCAACCTGGGGGTCGCGACCCCTTTGGGGGGTCGAACGACCATTTCCCAGGGGTCGCCTAAGACCATCGGAAAACACATATTTCCGATGATCTTAGGAACCGAGACACCGCTGCAGTCTCCGGCGATGTGTGGGCGGGATGATACGCTGCTGTCACCTGGCCACACCTCCAGGATCGCTCAGCAGCTCCGCCTCCTCGCCGCTGATTGGCCACCGGAACTGTAGCTCAGGAGAGGCACACAGGCGGCCAATCACCGGCGAGGAGGTGGAGCTTGGAGAGGAGGAGCCGAGCGGCAGCGCGCGTACATCAAAGAAGACCGAGGGAGCTGCGAGTGAAGAGGAGAGCGGCCAGAGAAGGAAGACAGCTGACAGGTAAGTGAGAGAGCGAGCCCAGGCTGGAGCAGGGGTCAGCAAGGTAAGTATCATTGGTGTCAGTGGGAGGAATAGTGCCCCATCATTTGTGTCACTAATACCAACGATGGGGCACTATTCCTCCCCCCACTGACACCAACGATGGGGCGCTATTCCTCCCCCCACTGACAGCAACGATGGGGCACTATTCCTCCCCAACTGACACCAACGATGGGGCACTATTCTCCCCCCACTGACACCAACGATGGGGCGCTATTCCTCCCCCCACTGACACCAATGATGGGGCACTATTCCTCCCCCAACTGACACAACGATGGGGCACTATTCCTCCCCCCACTGACACCAACGATGGGGCGCTATTCCTCCCCCCACTGACACCAACGATGGGGCGCTATTCCTCCCCCCACTGACACCAACGATGGGGCACTATTCCTCCCCCCACCAACTGGGGCACACCAACGATGATGGGGCACTATTCTCCCCCCCACCACTGACACCAATGATGGGGCACTATTCCCCCCCCCACTGACACAACGATGGGGCACTATTCCCCCCCCCACTGACACCAACGATGGGGGCACTATTCCTCCCCCCCCTGACACCAACGATGGGGCACTATTCCCCCCCCACCCCGACATCCAATGATGGGGCACTATTCCCCTCCACCACACTGACACCAATGATGGGGCACTATTCCTCCCCCCAATGATGTGGCACTACTCCCAAATGATGGGGCACTATTCCTCCCACTGACCACACTGAAGGGGCACACTCCCCACTGACACCAGTGGGGGCACTATTCCCCCCCCACTGACACCAATGGGGCACTATTCCCCCCACTGACACCAATGATGGGGGCACTATCTCCCCACTGACACCAATGATGGGGCACTATCCTCCCCCCTGACCCAATGATGGGGCACTATTCCCCACTGACACCAATGATGTGGCACTATTCCTCCCACTGACACCAGTGATGGGCACTATCCTCCCACTGACACCAGTGATGGGCACTACTCCCCCACTGACACCATGATGGGCACTACTCCCCCACTGACACCAATTATGGGGCACTACTCCCCCACTGACACCAAAGATGGGGCACTACTCCCCCCACTGACACCAGTGATGGGGCACTATTCCTCCCCACTGACACCAATGATGGGGCACTACTCCCCCCACTGACACCAATGATGGGGCACTACTCCCCCCATGACACCAATGATGGGGCACTATTCCTCCCACTGACACCAATGATGTGGCACTTATTCCTCCCACATGACACCAGTGATGGAGCACTACTCCTCCCACTGACACCATGATGGGGCACTACTCCCCCCACTGACACCAGTGATGGAGGCACTACTCCCCCACTGACACCAATTATGGGGCACTACTCCCCCCACTGACACCAATGATGGGGCACTACTCCTCCCACTGACACCAATGATGGGGCACTACTCCTCCCACTGACACCAACGATGGGGCACTATTCCTCCCACTGACACCAACGATGGGGCACTATTCCTCCCACTGACTCCAACGATGGGGCACTATTCCTCCCACTGACACCAACGATGGGGCACTATTCCTCCCACTGATACCAACGATGGGGCACTATTCCTCCCACTGATACCAACGATGGGGCACTATTCCTCCCACTGACACCAACGATGGGGCACTATTCCTCCCACTGACACCAACGATGGGGCACTATTCCTCCCACTGACACCAACGATGGGGCACTATTCCTCCCACTGACACCAACGATGGGGCACTATTCCTCCCACTGACACCAACGATGGGGCACTATTCCTCCCACTGACACCAACGATGGGGCACTATTCCTCCCACTGACACCAACGATGGGGCACTATTCCTCCCACTGACACCAACGATGGGGCACTATTCCTCCCACTGACACCAACGATGGGGGCACTATTCCTCCCACTGACACCAGTGATGGGGCACTATTCATCCCACTGACATCAGTGATGGGGCACTATTCCTCCCACTGGATACCAACGATGGGGCACTATGCATCCCACTGACATCAGTGATGGGGCACTATTCCTCCCACTGACACCAACGATGGGGCACTATTCCTCCCACTGACACCAACGATGGGGCACTATTCATCCCACTGACATCAGTGATGGGGCACTATTCCTCCCACTGATACCAACGATGGGGCACTATGCATCCCACTGAAATCAGTGATGGGGCACTATTCCTCCCACTGACATCAGTGATGGGGCACTATTCCTCCCACTGATACCAATGATGGGGCACTATTCCTCCCACTGATACCAATGATGGGGCACTATTCCTCCCACTGATACCAATGATGGGGCACTATTCCTCCCACTGACAAAATCAGTGATGGGGCACTATTCCTCCCACTGATACCAACGATGGGGCACTATTCCTCCCACTGATACCAATGATGGGGCACTATTCTCCCACTGACATCAGTGATGGGGCACTATTCCTCCCACTGATACCAACGATGGGGCACTATTCCTCCCACTGATACCAACAATGGGGCATTATTCATCCCACTGACATCAGTGATGGGGCACTACTCCTTCCACTGAACACCAATGACATGGCACTACTCCTCCCACTGCAAAATTACAGTTATAAAGTAGCAATGAAAATAATTTTATGGTTGGGGGTCACCACAACATGAGGAACTGTATTAAAGGGGTCGCGGCATTAGAAAGGTTGAGAACCACTGATGTAGGCCCTTTACAAAATAATTAGAGTGGGCATGGTATTGACACAGCCCCAGATGATCCACATTGGCTCACAACTGATATGATCCAGAAATATTTAGACAGAATAAAGGTGAATAAAGCCCCTGGACCAGATGGCATGCACCCACGGGTCTGTGACGGAAGCGTAGGCAGGACAGAACACACACAGAAGATGGTAAACACACAAAGCTTTATTGAACTATGGAAGGCACTCAATTAGGGCAGGAAGGTAGCGTCCAGGTACCCAAAAAGGGGAAGAGAGGGGAGGAGCCCAAAATAATTGTAATCTGGCCCATGATAGGGCACTTCGGGTAGCGATGGCCCAAGCACTCAGAGGGGCAGTCCAGGTAGCTATAATCCGGGCACGCAATGGGGCAGTTCAGGTAAGGGTAAGCCGAGCAGACAATAAGGACAGTTCAGGCAAGGGTAATCTGGGCATACAATAGGGGCAGTCCAGAGCACTCCGCAACATGCGGGTTCTAGGGACACTCGCGGTAAGCGGCTTGCGGACAATCAGCAGCAGGCGGCTTCTAGGGACACTCACGGTAAGAGGCTTGCAGACACTCAGCAGCAGGCGGCTGAGGGGAGCAGGCACTCCGTGACAGGGTACTTAAAGTGTTACTAAACCCACAACAGTAAAATCAGTCTGTATCTGCAGTAAAGCATGCTTGTTATACTTGCTGTGCTGTGGAGCCTAAGGCTTTTTTGCCCCTCCTCTTGTTCAAATGTCCATGCTGATAAGACAGACTTAACCCGTAGCCCTTCTGCACATGCTCAGTTTAGTGTGTATTGCTAGAGAGGGTTTTTTTTTTTTCTTGAGAGAGAGAGAGAATGTGATCAGCTCAGGGCCAATCAGCACTGTCCAGGCAGAGGGTCAGGGGTTATTCATCCACCTAGAGCAGAAAGAAACCTCCTCCAACAAGCTTTAAACAGTGCTCTGCTGAACACTGACAGAAGTCGCAAGACTGCGCTAACTTTTTTTTTTTTAAATCTTTTATTACATTTTTTTTGTCATTACAAAGATCCATATTATTTCCAAATGATTCTTAAATACCACCCACCCTTATTTTCAACCCACCCATATCCCTGATCCACAATCCAAATTCTTTCAATACCTCCCTTTATATTTTTCTATATCCCTTTCCTTCATCTAAAGTTCCATAGCTACTCAGTTGCTCTTACCAACTCTCCCGACTCTTCCTACCTTAAGCTCTTACCACTTCCCAATATCTTTCAGATGATTTAAAATCATACCATCTACTCCACACTTCTCTCAATTTTTCCATGTTGTCCTCATCCAGTTTATATTTCTCCACCATCTTATATATGTATTCGACGCTCTTTATCCACTCCTTTATTTTTGGGGGCTCTTGGTCTAGCCAATATTTAGGAATAAGACTTTTGGTCGCACTAATTAGATGATATAATACAACTATTTTTTGTATTGTTTCACAGAAGTCTCGGTGTTATAAAATATACACGCCCACGGGTCCCTCTGTGCAATTGTCCCCGGCATTTCCTGTATATATTGAATTATTTCCTGCCAGAACTTCTGAATTTTAGGGCAATCCCACCATATGTGAGCCATTGTTCCCTTATTCTCACACCCTCTCCAACATAATGGTAAGACATCTAATCATTGTTTATGTGCCGCACTCGGTGTGATATACCATCTTGCTAAGCACTTATAATTAATTTCAACTGTGTTCATGTTCCTCACCTCGTGTGTTAATTTAAATATATTATTTTTTTGTTGCTCGTTCAATTTTTTTTCCCAGCTCCCTTTCCCACTTCTGTAAGTACGGGAGAGGATCAGAACCCTCCAGATTAGTAAGGATCTTATAAATCCTGGAGGTAACAACGGATACATATCCTCCAGTGTCCTCAGAGGTTGTGGTAGTGCTGTAACAAAATGTCCTAGCTGGTAGTATTGCCATTCATCTAATGTGAAAAATATATCTTTTTTTCTTTTAAGTCTTGAAAAGTGTGCAATTTCCCCTTATCGAGTATATCCTTCAAACGTGCATTTCTATCTTTGATCCACTTCCCTGAAATATTGTCTTTCCAAGGTGGAAAATACTCCGTGCCCACTAGAGGAATCAATACTGAATTGTATTTTCAATCCATCTGCTTATGCAGTGCATCCCACACTCTTAGTACCTTACGTGTCAACATGCTGGTGTTTTCACCCAAAATACGAAACTTGTGTGGTATCCAAATAATCATCTCTAATTGTGCCTTATTTAGAACACCTTCCATAATTGTCCAACTTTTCCCATGTGCGTTATATGTCCAATCTACAATACATGACAGCAATACAAATAATAGTATTTCCTAAAAATATGTAAATTTAACCCCCCATTCTCTTTTTTTTTACTCAATACGTCATATTTAATTCTTGTTTTTTTATTAGTGAATCAGAGTGACTTGCGAGCCACAGGTGTGATAATTACTAGAGGATCGCAAACATGAAACACATAACTACAACTGTGTTGGAAATATCTACAAATATATGTTGCGCTCCTAAATACTTCTCAATAAATAATAATTAAACTATTAACATTAAATTAATTAAAATTATGATACAAATAAACTAATAAAAGTGTATACATACCAAAGAATATTTAAATAGATAATTTCAGCTAATCAATCTCCTCCAAATAAATATCAAAATAATTCCACATGAAATACTTTTTTTTTAGAGGAGTATTTCATGTGGAATTATTTTGATATTTATTTGGAGGAGATTGATTAGCTGAAATTATCTATTTAAATATTCTTTGGTTTTTTATTAGCCCTAATAAACCTGAGTATCAGTTTCTTTAATGTCCCAAAGAAGGACCCTGGTATATGTACTGGGAACATGT